TGCAACCTCTGCCTCCTGGGTTCCAGTGATTCTCCTGCCTCAGACTCCAGAGTAGCTGGGATTACAGGCATGTGCCACCACGCCTGGCTAATTTTTATATTCTTAGTAGAGATGGGTACGGTTTCACCATTTGGCCAGGGTGGTCTCGAACTGCTGACCTCAGGTGATCCAGCTGCCCCGGCCTCCCAAAATGCTGGGATTGCAGGTGTGAGCCACTGTGCCTGGCTTTGGGTTTCTTTCTATTGTATAAGTTGGTTTCCTTAAAGAACAAACCTCTAATTTTGGTCCCAATGTGTATAGTAAATCTGGCCGTGATCCAAGGGTGAAAAGAGTGGTGGGAGGATCTCACATTTTGTTACGTAGACTTTACTTAATGCTCCTAGTTTTTGTGAGTATAGGGCTTCACCCCTGCCCACAGCTGTGTGTATTGTCTATAGAGTCTTCAGGTTCATCCTCATCGTAGAATAAACCTTGTCTTCAAGGTAAGGGAGAGTCTGATGGTCTTAGCTAGCCCTCATGCAGACATTCCACGAGTTCTCCTTTTTTTCAGTTATATCCCTGCTCAAGCCTTCAGAGGTTTTGAGCCTTTTGGGATTTTGCTACACAAAATACCTTGCTTCTTATTGACTTAAGGGAGTTAGCAGCTTTCTTTGTCCTGTAAAATTGGGTATCACTTGCTAGTCAGCTATCATCTCCCCAGATTTTATTGACATCTCTATGTCTTTTTTCCCATTCTCTTTGTCCCTGTGGTTTTATACATTTTAACTTTCTTTATTAGAACCTGACTTGGATTTTGGGAAGGAGCAGAGGCAAAGGGGTAAGGGTTTAGACAGAAATTTCTAATCTACTTTTCACAAATAAATCGTAGAGAGGTTAAATGGTTATTGCCTGTCTTGACACAGCCATATGTGTAAACATTGTTTATTGGAAAGTTGGGCTGAAAATAGTTATTCAGTGAACAACTTAACAAATCAGAAAGTAGGTCTGAAAAGAATTTAATTAGGCAATACTCATTTTCTACTATTTTATCATATTTTCATGGTTTTATTTTGTGAGTTTAAAATATGCAATTGTGTGAATTTGTATGTATTTTTGTTTTGCATTGGAGAAAAAGTATATGGGTCTAAATCTTTTAAATCTTTTTTTAGGACTTTAAACAATAGTAGGCTGAGCATGATGACTTATGCCTGTAATTCCAGCATGTTGAGAGGCTGAGGTGGGCAGATTGCTTGAGCCCAGGAGTTGACAACCAGCCTGGGCAACATGGCAAAAACCCGTCTTAACAAAAAATACAGAAATTAGTCAAGCACAATGGTGTGTTCCTGTAGTCCCAGCTACTCTGGAGGCTAAGTTGGAAGGATTGTTTGAGCCCAGGAGGTCAAGGCTGCAGTAAACTGTGATCGCACCACTGCATTCCAGTCTGGGCAACAGAGCAAGACCTTGTCTCAAAAACCAACCAAACAAACAAAAAACAGTAAATAATGAATCCAACGATTCACTACTTATAGATATTCTTGCTCTATTCGATTGACTGTATTTTAACCCAAATTTGAATTGAAGCTTATTTTTCTCATTTTATATTAAGATTGCTGATTTCTAATTAGAGATCTTAAAGACTTTAGAAAGTAAAAGTTCTAATGATGCTACTTAAAAATTCTTGTTCTATTTTTATTGACTAATCTTTTACTTGAACGTCAGTTGGAAGTATCCTATAATCTAAATGGAACGCAGAATGCAGGCATCTTAACAGTAGGTTACTTAACAGAAGGTTACTTAACAGAAGGTTACTTAACAGAAGGTTACTTAACAGAGAATTGACTGGGTGTTAGTTCTTAGGACCCAGGGTTTTTTAATCAAACTAGATAAGGAGGTAGTTTTCTTATGAGAAGAGAATATTGGGAAAACTTAGAGAATGTCAAGATATTGAAGTAGTATTTAATTCAAAGAGGATCTTAAAGTTAATGCCTCCTAATTGTTATATTTGATTTTAACACTTTTGGCTTTTTTTCTTGTAAGCATTTTTAAAGACACATTTTAGAGATATTTGCATAATCTGTTTTCTGTTCTTTAAAAAAATAGGCTGCCATTTGTCGATGTAGTCAACCACTCTCTGGATTCAGTGCCAGGTGCCTGGAGGATGAACATTTGCTTCAAGCCATTAGTAAAGCCAATCCAGTTAATCGCTATATGTATGTCATGGATACCAGGCCAAAAGTATGTATTTTAAATAGAGTACAGTCTGCTAGTTTAATTATCTTTATTACTTTACTAATGAGAGTTAATAAACTTGCCCATATATAAAATATCTGAATCCTAGTTTTAAATTAACTAAGGTTAATCATACTGAGGAAATCAATCCTTTATTTAAAGGATACCAATTTAGAAGACCAATTTCTGAGTAGCTCATGGTGATTTCTTATGTCTTCTGATATATATAATTTCAGGAAAGCTGAATTG